TTTTTTTAGATTTTGAGAATTTGATAAAAAGTCGATCAAATATTATTAAGCCGGATACTCTACTTTTGGGCCACCTCTGTTTTGGGTCACTTTTCAATTATTTTTTATACCAAAAATGGAATTTCTAACTTTTTTATTTATAAATAGAATTTATTGAAAATTTATATATATATAATTCAAATTGTTTTAAACTTATTATGAAATTTTCAGATTTTTAGAATTTTTCTATATCGAGATTTAAAGCTTCAAAATATCGATTTTTTGATTTATATAGAAATTATATATAAATTTGAAAATTTCATAAAATCTTTACTTTTTAATAAAAATTGCTAAAAATAAATTATAAAATTTTATTATCAATTCATAATGTATTTAATATAAAAGATTCTGCAAAAATGAAAAATCTTTCATAAAGAAATATTTAAAAAAATATTCTTGAAATGGTAGAAATTATTTATACTACTCTAAACTCATTGTATATTATATATTTATATCGATTAATTTTTTTGAATTTTTTTTTGAATTTCTATATAGATTCAAATTTAAAATTTTCAAAAAAATATACAGTTTTCTTTTAATAATTATTATTGAAAGGTTATTAAAGATTTTAAAAAATTTCTAAATTTATATATGATTCTTATATAAATTAAAAAATCGATATTTTGAAACTCTAAATCTCGATACAAACAAATCCTTAAAATCTGAAAATTTCTGAATAAGCTTAAATCGATCTAAATTACATATATAGAAATTTTTATTAAATTATATTATATATTGATAGAGATATTAATAGGCCTAAAAAGTGATTTTTGGTATAAAAAGATGGCCTAAAACCCTGTTGGCCCGAAAGTAGGGTACCCGATTTATTTTATAATTTTTTTTATCAAAATAAACTTTTTGTATAATATTATATAAAAAAAGAAGTTGAATTAATTATTTTGTAATTAATTGAATTTATGAATTGAAATTGATTGTAAATAATCAATATTCTCTTAAATAATTTATATTTAATTCAAAACAAAATAGTATCTTATCAGAATTGTTTAAATAAAAATAAATATAAATAAATTGTTTTCAGAATTTCAAACTTTTTAGAAATTCCAAAATTCTTTTTTGGATTTTAAGGATTCAATAGAAAGCTATCGAAGTTTTATCAGGTTTCAGGATTTTTAGAATTTCTAGGTTTTTTTTGATATTCTAGATTTTTATCATTTTTGTTATTTTTATTGCTTTTATGATTTTTATGATTTTTATGATTTTTATGATTTTTATGATTTTTATGATTTTTATGATTTTTATGATTTTTATGATTTTTATGATTTTTATGATTTTTATGATTTTTATGATTTTATTGATTTTATTGATTTTATTGATTTTATTGATTTTATTGATTTTTTAGATTATTTAGATTGTTTAGATTCTTAGGATTTTGAATATTATATAATATTGAAAATATTATTAATTTCTAATTTTATAGGGTTTAAGAATCCAATAAAAAATTGATAGAATTTTATTATCAAGGTTTTTTTCATATTAAATATGAATCTGATTAGGTAGTTTATAGAATTCTTTTATTTTTAAGATTTTCAAGTTTTTCTAGATTCTGAATATTATATAATATTGAAAACACTATTCATTTTTAAACTTATGAAATTTACACATTTTCAAGGATTTAATAAAAAACTAATAAAATTTCAAAATTTGTAAATTTTTTCAACAATTTTAGAAATTGCAGATTTTAAAAATATTAATCAAATTAGTTTCTAAAACTTTATTATTTTTATTATTTTTATTATTTTCAGAATGGAAAATGTTATTTATTAATAAATTATTATTGAATTTTAATTTTGTTTATTTTTCTAAAAAAAATCAAAAAAAATCTTATTGAATATAAATATTAAATATAAATCCCTATTTTATTATTAAATCTAATCCTTTTAAATATAAATCATTATCTTATTGAAAGTAAACTGTTTTTTTTTTGAATTTTGAAAAGTTTTTAAAATTTCTAAATTTTGAATATAAATTGAATTATATATATTAAATTCATTCTTTATGTTTTTGTATTATAATATAGCTTCTTTCAAAAATTATAAGGAAATTAAATCTTATAAAATAAGACCATAAATATTATAATATTAATTTATTATTATAAAAATTAATGAAATTTAAAATAAGATCAATATAATAATAATCAATTATTCAATGATTTTAAAATTTATGAAAATAAAAATTTCAAAAGAAAGAGTTTTATTATAAATAGGTATTAATATTGTACAAAATCGATATTAAATTGATTATACATTTAAAAACAAAAGTTTTTCTTATATATATATAATTTAATTTTTTTTTTAAATAAATTAGTGAAAAGTTTCATTATTAAATTTATATCTATATATATTATCCTAATCATTATTTTATATTAATTCTAATACACATAATTTACTAGAAATTTTTTTTATCTAATGAATATAATTATTATTAAATGAATTGTATTCTAAAAGATTTTAATTACAAACTAATTCTATACTATATATACTTTTTAAACTAATACCCTGTTTCATTACCAAAATAAATCATAAATACCTACAAACTTAAAGCAAACCTGAATCTTCTAAAAATCATTTTTGAAATCATTTAATAAACTATTCAATAAACTATCTATAAATTTATAATAAAATTTTATAATTTATTTTTAACAATTTTCATTAAAAAGTTATTAAAGATTGTATAAAAAGTTTAAATTTGTATATGATTCCCATATAAATTTGAAAATCGATATTTTGAAGTTCTAAATTTTAATATAAAAAAATCCTAAAAATCTGAAAATTCAGGCTAAGATTAAATCGATTTAAATTATATATATATAAATTTTCATTAAATTCTGTTTATAAATAAGAAAATTATAAATTCTATTTTTAGTATATTTTGAACGAGCTTTTTCTCGGCCCTTTGTGGCTAAAAATAACAACGGCCTCGCTAGCGCTCTCCATAGTTATTTTAACGTCACTCAGGACCTACGCCTACGCTCGTGCTGCGCAGCTTTTAGAATCCTAAAAGTAAATAAGATTTATATTTCTATATTCGATCAAATTATGAATTTTGAAGCTATTCAGAGATTCTAAGCTTTTTGGAGTGGTGGTCTGTGCACAGGCTTTAGTGGGGTATATCCAACCCTAAACTTTAAATAATAAAATAATAAAATAATAAAATAATAAAATAATAAAATAATAAATAATAAAATAATAAAATAATAAAATAATAAAATAATAAAATAATAAATAATAAAATAATAAAATAATAAAATAATAAAATAATAAAATAATAAAATAATAATAATAATAATAAATAATAATAATAATAATAATAATAATAATAATAATAATAATAATAATAATAATAATAATAATAATAATAATAATAATAATAATAATAATAATAATAATAATAATAATAATAATAATAATAATAATAATAATAATAATAATAAATAGATTTCGCTAGCCTCTAGCTTCTAGCTCGTATTTTGAATATAAAAAGTAGCCCAAAAGGGGGGTAGCCCGAAAGTAGGGTACCCGACTTATATATAGACCTAATATCACTTCACTCTTCTCTCTCTCCATTCCAATAATTTTATTCAAAAATAACAATAACAAATGCTACAAAGAACTTTTCGTTATAATCTTGATGGTATTGAGATCGCATATACTGGAGTTGATCTATAAGAGAAAGGTGCTAGCCTAAAGAGACATATATAATATAGAATTAGCTTGTAGTTAAAGCCTTTCGGGGTATAACTGGTTTAATGATAATTATATTCATTGAATAAAATCCATTTTTTTGATAAACTATATAGGAAGGAATTCCCATTTTCAATTTCAATATTTTTCGATTTTTCAAATTCAATAAATCAATTTGGTATATTTATACTTTAGATTCTTTTTTAAATTTCGTTTTGTTTTTTAATATAATTAAGATTTATAATTTAATTCGATTTAATAAATAAGATTTTAGTTTTCAATTTGGGTTTTTAGAATTTATTAAATATTAATTTAATTAGAATATTTATAGTTTTTAATTAATTATACATAAATTTTAGAAATTAATAAATTTATTTGAAACATTTTTATTATATCAAATATATTAATTATTTTATAATTTGTTTATTATATATAAATTAATCAGATTTAGATTAATTGTGGATAGTAAAAATTATTGGGAATCAAAAATAAAATATTAGAAGGATAGGATTAATTAATTAAAATTTATATATAACTTAATAGATTAGTATATTTAATATAAGAGATTTAGAAAAATTGAAATTTTTTTTATAAATAAATATTTATAAAGATATTTTCAAAATAATAGGGATTATTTATATTATTTTAAATTTATTGTATATTATATTTCTATATCTATTAATTTTTTTGAATTTTTTTTTGAATTTTCATATAGATTGAAGTTTAAATATTTCAAAAATATATATAGTTTTCTTTTAATTAATATTATTAAAAAGTTATTCAAGATTTAATAAAAAACTTAAATTTGTATATGATTTCCATACAAATTTAAAAATCGATATTTTGAAGTTCTAACTTTTAATATAAAAAAATCCTAAAAATCTAAAAATTTCAAAATAAGTTTAAATCAATCTAAATTATATATATATAAATTTTCATTGAATTATATTGAATATTGATAGAGATATTAATAAACCTAAAAAGTGATTTTTGGTGTAAAAGGGTGGTTCAAAAGGGGGGTGGTTCGAAAGTAGAGTACCCGATTTATGAGTTGTGTAATACAGTGATCTTTAAGTGTACGCATAGCCCTTCGAACCCTGCAAGAGAGGTATTATGATTCGAAAAAGTGAGGCTTGCAAATGTGGGGTACAATTAATGAAAAGTCGAGAAGATGAACCAAAGCTACTACTATCATTTCAACAAATCTGGACATTCCTTTCAACAGAACATCGAAATAATACCTGGCGACCAATTTCCAACATGGTTAATACTTACGTTATTGAACTTCATCAATATGAAGAGGTAGATGATTATAACAATGAATCATATATTAAAATTTTTGTACAAGGCTTTGAAGCTCGTTTCGAAATACAATATCTACCGAGAAATCTCAAGGCCTCATCTTATCAATTGGCACAGTACAACAAATCGCTGAAGATCCTGGCGCTTGGAGATGCAGGATATAATAATTGGGATGTTATGAATGCAGAAGAGGAAGTTAATAAACTCAAAGAACCATTCCGGGCTTTGATGGATTCTTTATTGATCGAAGCAATACCATCGAATTGTACCACTCGTGATTACCTACAAGCGACAGTATACATCCTTGAAGCCAAATGCAATGGAGATACCCTTTTGCCAACTCTTAAAGGACAATTACCCCGACAGGTGGTGGGTCTTCCGGGTTCACCTCTAAAACCCATAGATGATTGGCTACTCGACACTTTCAATTACTTTACCCCGTCTCAAATTCATCTCATACCTACTTCTTCAGAGTTAGATCAACACCCATGCTTAAAAGGCCCATCTGTAATCCGCACTAATACGAAATGCTACTTTAAGCCTTTACTTTCGAATACACCGCCAGGCAAGGATTGGGTACACAAACGAGTGATGGATGCTTTCGATGCGGGTAAACTTCCTTCGACAATGCCAATTTGCCGTATAAAAGGCATAGTTGTGATCGACATAGAAGAGGTTCTGGAGGACTATGAGCCGGTATCAGAAGCCGAATTGATTGAAAAATGGGGATACACTGAAGATGATGTCACTATTATCACAAACCCAAAGTGTATGCTGGGTTTTGTTCTCTCTTACATTAAGAACAAGGGGACACTTTACGATATAGCACTATGGGAAGATTGCTCAAACGATTTACGACTTCACTGGGCAAATGAGCTAGAGGGTCTTGTACATCAACTGCATACAATGGATTTGATATGGGGTGATGCAAAACCGCAAAACATACTGATTGATCTGAAGAACCGCTTATGGCTTATCGATCTTGACGGAGGTTATACACCAGGTTGGGTGGAAAAGGAAAACGAGGAGATACAAACAGGGGATTGGCAAGGGGTTAAGAGGATCAAGGAGTGGTTGTTGGAATGTGGGAAGAGTCCGTTTACACATCGTATTCATTCAGCTCTTTAATGATTTCATTTGTATATGAAAGATGCAGTATTCTTTATTATTCCTCGATATCCAAACGTGTTAACCTTTTCATATGCGCACATTGAATTCTAACGATTGATCTGTAACAATAACGAACTTCCAGGACAAATCATAAAGTACAGCAAAACCTCTCCATAAGGATCCCCCCTATAAGGATAACCTCTCTATAAGGATATATTTTTCGGTTCCCAAAAAATTTAGGCCTAAAAAAGGCCTATATCCTTAAAACCCTTCTATTAGGATATCCTTATATTTTTCGGTCCCAAAATCATATATATATTCTTATTGAATTAATAGAATTATTAGAATGACTTATTATATAATAAATATTTTAGGATTTTAGAATACTTGGTGGAAAGGTTTAACTGAAACCCAAAAAATGTCATGGAAATGGCCCGATCGGGACTAATTGGAAAGAAATTACTACTACATCGGGATTAAGTGGAATCTCTATATAAAAATACCTCTATATATCCTTAAAAAAGAGTACAAAAACCGGTATCCTTATGGAGAGGTTTTGCTGTACTCCTAATGTCAAAGTTCCTCACCCTTTCCCAACGCAGCCAAGTACTCATTTGTAAAATTGTAAAATCGCTTCATTCAAAACCATGAAATATCTTAATTGAAAACCCCATCTTTCGGGATAGAGTAGTTGATCGCATTCTATCGATTGAGGTTCGAACTGGATAAAAGACTCGATCAGTATATACTCTGTATAGCAACGCCAGTCGGCTTACCTCACTCGAGAAGTTTGTACATTGTAAAAGAACAGACTGTATGACTGAAAAACCAAACCTAGATTTGTCAAGATATACCCTGTACAACAGTTGTTGACTTAGGGTGCGTTCGGATCACTTTTTTGAAATTATCAGAGCTCAATTATTAGTCAATTTTATTTATCGAATAATCCAAATAACTTTTAATATTTTATTAGAATATATATATTATTCGGATCATAATAAATTATATAGAATATTATCTCAATATTTGAAATTTAATGAATTATCAGAAATTCTAATAAATTTCAATTCCTGATATATTTGATTGAATATAGTATTTAATAAATGTTAATATATTTAAATAATATCTAAATCATATATAATATATTTTAGATAATAAAAATAGATACCTAGGTAAGCAATATTGCTAAATAATTTATTAACCTTTCAATAATACATTTATTCTGATTTATTCTAATTTTTAACTTTAAATCTTCAACCTTTATTTTTGTTATTATTATAAATAGTTCTCGAGATGTATTAATATTATTGATAACTTTATTGATTGTATTTATAATATTTATTATATTTGTTATATTTATTGAAAATCTTACTATTTTTATCAAAATAGCTTTTTAATAATCAACAATATAATTACTATAATTATAATTAATAGTATTGTTTTTATTAATTTAATAAACTATTATGATTGAATCTCAATTTAATCAATATAGATATAGTAAGATTACTAGTCAACTGTTATTAGCCGAAATTCATTTTCACATCAAAAATCAATATTTTGCTACATTTTTAAAATTAAAAATCTCTATAATCTATTAATCGAATTATTTTGAAATCTGTTTTCATAAAGTTTTTATAATAATAATTGATATATTCAATTTTTTAATATTCTTAGAAATT